AAAAAAAGAGCCCTTTTTCCCCCCCCCCCCCCCGTTTTTCCAACCCCCCCCTTTTTCCCAGAGGCGGAAAAAAAGACCCCCCCGGTTGGGGGGCCCCCCCCCCCCTTAATTTTAAAAGCCCCTTCGGGGGGTTTTTCCCCCCCCCCCCCAAGGGGGGGGGGGGCCCCTTTCCAAATGGGGAAAAAAAAAACCCCGTTCCCCCCCCAAACCCCGCCCCCCCCCCCCCCCCCCCCCCCAAACCCCCTTGAGCCCCGGAGGCATATTTACCACCTATGTACAGTACACCTCCAAACAAACGGGGGGGGCGAGAGCAGCAACAGCGAACCCACGACGAAAGCGGGAGAGACCCTACCCTACCCCACCTCCTGGTAGTAGGACAACGCCTCCGTGGTGTTGTAACCCAGGTAAGGGACCAGGCCGTGCTGAAACATGCTGCCGATCCGAAGGGCCGCGATCGTCTGCGGCTCGCCGAACTTCTTGCCCATTTCCTGTTTTGGGGTGGGGGGAGGTGGAAGAGAGGGGTGGCGAGGCACTACTCAAAACTAAAAACACACACGCACCCTCTTGCTGTCTGGCACTGACGTCTGTTCATTGGTCCGCCGGTTAGCGCAAGGTCGACGGTAGCAACCGCATCGGTCGACCGGGCCTGCAAGCTCCAAACACCCAACAGGCAGGCGAGCTCAATCCACACGAACTCGATCCAGCGGACGAACGCGCGGGTGAATAGGTCTAGGTGCTTGAGACCCCCGTCCTTGTGCTTTGTTGTAGCACTATACTCTACGCTACAAAACGGGTTACGTATCGGCCAGAGGATATTTTTGAAAGCGGCGGCCAAACACACACACCGCCAAGGACACGGAAGGCAGGCAGGCAGGCAGGCAAGCAATCAGGCGGTAACACACCCAAAAAAATAGTGTTACCTACACGGTGAAGTGCCGATTTTAACCGAAAACGAAGCATTCTCTTCTCTCCCCCTCTTCATCATGTACGTGCGACGGGACGTGAACGATGTGAGGCAAAAGCAAAAAAAAAAAAGAGATGACCCGAGAAACAACACAATAAAACAAAACCAGAGCAGCAGCAAAGAAAAAAGCAAAACCCACCAGCGCCTGAGTGAACAAGAGGTACGCCTGAAGCATGGGGTACTTCCCGCCGGCCCCCCTGCCGTCCCTTGTGTCCGAGTATTCGCCGTGCAGCCACATGTCCGCGAGGCCAGTGGCGCAGGCCGGGTCTCCCGCCTTTTCTCGTGTAGAAAACCCACGCGGATGATGGGCGAAAAAAACGCAAAGAGCACGCCACAAAGCATACACACGGGTGCGTTCATGCGGAAAAAGCACGTACAGAGCAAGCCAAGTCGGGACGGAGAGTTAACAACGAGCGGCGGGAGGGTAAAATGGCGCTGTTTATATTGTAGCACATTCGCGCGCGAAGCGGATACGACAGCAGTAGGACGCCTAAAGGTTTTCCAATCCGGCCCAATGCGACTGATTTCAGACCCAGTCTCGTCCTTCGGGAGTCCATCCAGTTGGGAGATACCGGTACCATTTTCTTCTACCGCTCGCGAAAAACAATAACAAATTTTTTCGACATTCCACACACGCAAGAGTCGAGAGCCAACGAACGAATCAAAGAAGACGGAACGAAATTCGGGCACCCTGTCCAGAGAGCCTGTGCAGAGTCGAACACCTTGCTAGCTCGTGGGATCAAGCAAAATCTGGTGAACTTAAAGCATGAAAGAAGGGCAAGCTCGCCCGAATAGAACCCACAGCACGCACCGTACCACCAAACCCCCAACTCAGCCCTCTGCACTGCAGGCCATCACCCGATCACCGAGTGCGAAGAGGCGCACCACGAAAGCAAATCTTGCGCACCAGACAGATCCCCCCCCCCCGCG